AATCGGAATATTGTTGTCCATGTAAACGTACTCACATAGAGCTTTAGAATATGTCCTGTTATTAAATATTCATTTTGTGCCACTATTCATTTTCGTAAGATTTTTGTAAGTCATTACTGGCCACATAACTGTGACAACACCTTATTAAAAAGTGATCATCTTTTACTTTATTTACTGGTGGAATTATATAGCCAGAATATTTCCCATGGTTTACTGGACATACTTGGTAGCGGATAGTGGAAAGTATACATGCCCATTCAGTTTGGGGTCAGTCGATTAAAAACACAGTAAAAACCCAAGGGTAACATTTTAGTATAAGGACCAATTCTCACTATTAACTAGTTGCTTATTAGGATGTCTATTATTAACATATTGGCTGTTCATTAGTACTTATAAAGCACATATTCTGCATGACCATATTCTACATCCCTAATCCAATCCTTATACCTAAACTTAACAACTACCTTATTAACTATTAATAAGCAGCAAAGTAGGAGTTTATTGAGGTAAAAGTCACAGTTAATGGTTTGTTAATAGCAAGAATTGGACCTTACAATAAAACGTGGCCAACACTAGCATTGCCTGACGAAAGTCTTTGACCGAAACGTTGTTATTTTTAACTTTTTTGAATAAAGGGAGAATAACAGTGTGCAGATCTTTTTTCTATTATTCCACACTAGCATTGTGAAATAATATTATAAGACAACTGTTTGTTGTATTAATATTAAAATAGTAATTTAACATAAGATATTAATTAAATATAATTACTTAGTTTATTCCTGTCATGGCAAAGTTGAATTTTCGGCAGCCATTACTCCAGTCTTTAGTTTCACATGATTCTTCAGAAATCATTATAAATGTTGAGGAGGAAAAACAATAAGGAAAAGTAATACATTTAGAAACTGTGATACATTTTTTTCAAGATTTTTTGATGAATACGGTCACTTTTGATCAATTTAATGATTCATTTCTTTACTGACTGCACACTTTTGAATGATAATGTGTATTTCACTTCATCTAAAGCCTCTTTAATGAGTTTTTCTCATTACTGTGACAGCCACCCATAGTTCCCAAGGTATCTCACGAGGGTGACACGTCTAACTTTGACACCTATCCAGAGGATGAGTGGAAGAAGGACACACCAGTACCAGCTAAGGATCTGGAAATTTTCAAGAACTTCTGAAAAAATATTATTTTTAATGAATAAAAAGACAGGACTGGTAGAAGATAATGATTTAGAGCTGAAGTTTTAACCTAACCATTCAGGGGACATCAAAAGGTCATAGTTTTAGCATTATATAGGCATGTCCTGCACACTTGAGAAACCGAAACAGACATCTTCTGATCATCATTATTGTCAACATAATCATGGTCAAACATTTACGGAGGAAACAGTTCATCACTTCAGCATCATCTATTAAGTGATGAGCAACTTGATTCAACACCCTCTGAATCTCTTATAATATGCAAAATTTATGTTTTTAAAGCAATATCAAGGTTCTTTTTGCTGGGTCTTCGCTTATGCCTAAACATGTATGGTCATGGTTGTGTTATGGCTTTATATCTTAAAAAGCTTGCTGAATTGGAGCTTTAAGCCTGACAAATTTAGTTTTCTGGTTATCTGAACTTGCTGTGTTGATCCTTTCCTCCCACATGGTATTGCTATATAAATTTCGTAACATTGGGCCTGTTTCACACTGCACTCTCGGGCAGGCATGTAAACAAAGCAAAAGCATAACTGCAACATTATGCTTTTATACTGGCAGCATTGTTCCGGCTTAACAACCTAGCCAGTCTATACAAAAAAAATGCATAGTCAATGTAAATGATGCCATTGCATTTTAAAATGGTAATTTTTTTAAATAATTAAGACTACAAAAAGACTTTGAAACCCAAATTTCAAACTATAGCGATGACTTAGATTTAGTCATATTTACTAAACAAAAAGTGCTGCTGTCTCTCTCTCTCTCTCTGTGTGTGTGTGTGTGTGTGTGCGCATTTTTGTGACAAATGAGGACATAAATTTGTATAATGACAAGGGTATGACATAGGTATTACAAGGAGAAGGTGACTTTTCAGGACATTACCCCATGTCCCCACTCTTCAAAACGCTTCTAAATCACACAGAATGGAGTGTATTGAAAATCTGAAATAGCACAAAGTTTCCTGTGAGGGGTAGGTTTAGGGGTAGGGTTGGTGTAGGGCAATAGAATATACAGTCTGTACAGTAGAAAAACCATTACGCCTATGGGATGTCCCCACTTTTCACAGAAACAAACCTGTGTGTGTGTGTGTGTGTGTGTGTGTGTGTTTTGATAAGTCTATATTTCACTCCTGTTTTTTATTTGTATACTGTAACCTTTTGATGTTGTATGTAAACCCATCAGAAGAAAAAAAATGCTTTGGCAAATTAATTATTACATCAAGTCATAATTATGAGGGGAAAAGGGTGAAATTATGAGTTAAAAAGCTAGAATAATGAGATAAGTCGTTAAATTTTGTCAATTTCAACTAGTCTCATTATGACTTTATATCTCAATTTTGACATTGGTGACATAAATTATAACAAAAGTCATGACAGAATTCTGAAATAATTTGACTTAATTGACATATTTTTTGATAAAGTCGTCGTCGTCGTCCCCCCCCCCAAACAAAGTTGTGATTAAAGTTGTGAAAAGTAAGTGATTATAATTGGAAATTGAGATTAAAAAGTCATGACTCTGTTTCAACTTGTGTCATGACATTTTATCTCATAATATGAGATTTTGGACTTTTTGTCATTATTTGAAACTTTGTCATTTGTATTTTTATTTCTACTTTTATTATAATTTTATCTCGTAACAGTTTCTTTGTCATACTTCAACCTTTTATTTCAGAATTATGACTTGCTCAAGTAATAATTTAGACACTTTATGATTTTTTTTTTTACCAAAGCTATTTCATACATTTGAGTCCCAAAATAAATGCACAGGAGTCGTCTACAGTGTGAAACAGAACGTGTTTTTGTGTTCTACTGTGCTGCTTTTTAATTCTTTTTCTAAGTATACATGCAATAGACAGATGTGTTTGGCCATTGCGCTGTCTAGCTTATTTTTTCTTTTGCATCAGCACTACATTAAGGCAAGTTAAAAAAACTTGCTTTCCATTCATCAGTGTTCATCAGTGTGCAGTTAGATACTATTGTGCTGCATCTTAAGTTGACCACAGAAGCGCAGTTTGTGTGAACGGCCCCAAGAATCCAAAGAGCTTTTGAACACATTCCTGCCAGGATGTCAGACTAAGAATAGCAGGTGAAGTAGAGGCACAGTAGCACTTATCTAATCATGACCTCACAAACCTGTAGGTAACCAATAAATGAACATTACTGTTTGTATTATGAGATGCCTGTTCACATACTTTGGCTGTTGTACTTGATGTTCTATATGTGTTTACTAATTGGTTAAGTGCATAAACAATTTACTAGCCAGGTGTTTTCTAAAGTTGCCTTTCATATTTATGGGGGTGAATTTAGCAAACACAGTTTACATTGCTTCATAATGCTACTTAATATATGTTGGGAAGAGAATTGACTATGGTGTGAAATGCTTAGAAATGTAGCTACTGTGTGTATGTTCAAAACAATTCTTCCTGTTTCTGGACTTCCATAGTTTTTCTTAACTGCTTTTGTCTTAAGCAGTAATATATCACACTGAATATCATTTATTTGATATCATTTCTTGAAATGACTGTTCTTTTTAAATTGCAAATGCAGTTTTATACTAAGGAAAGCAACTTGCAGATTTCATATGGACTTGACAGCTGTTACCATCTTGTGGATTTTTGTTTGTTTGTTTGTTTAATGTTTGTTTGTCGTTGTTTCCTGTGTGAATAATTTTGCTGTATTCTCAATTTTTTGTGTTTTCTTTTTTTACACTTGTTTGAGGGGGACAAAATGTCATTTATATTGTTTGCAACAGCAAAAACTAAAATGAAGTTCTATGAACTTAAAAATTGTCACAAACCAAGCATAGGATTTTATACTGGTTTTTATTCACACTTTTTTTTAGTTTATCGGTACTTTCATTTTATTGCCTTCTGAACATTTATGGTGTATTTTAGATGGTACAAGTGCAATATTACCTGCAACCAAGCTGTTATAAAAACTTGAGGAAATCTGCAAATCCTATATCCATGAAAATAAACTGAACTTTTCATGTGGGCAAAACTATTTGACTAATAGACCTGCAGCCTGTTATAACGTTTCAGTGTACTCTGACCAAACTCGTTGAAGTCTTATTGAGATGGGTTGGACTTTCAGTTTGATGGCACCAAGCCATACGCTCATTCACACCAGCCTCAGGAACCTTTTAAACTACAAGCTTAATGGAAATTATTAGACCATTTACTGTAAGAGTCTTAATATATTCTCATTTTCCTATATACCCACGATTAAGTGCTTGCCACAGTTTCATATGCTAGTATTTCCCTCAGTTGGTCCCTTTATAGTTTATTTTCCTTAAGTATTCATGTAAAATGTTTATTAAATGTACATTAGTAGTTAACAGGGCAAATTAGCATCACTCCTTTCCAGCAAAAGCAGATGAATGATCTCATCCATTAAGGTGCCATGAGACTGTTGCATTTTTAAGAGGTTATTTCACTCTCTAACCCCTGTGGTTAGACTTCACCCGTAGAGAAATGTTCGAACATAACTTCCTTTCTTCGCTCTGCTCTTTGTAAAATCTGACTACAGTTTAAACATTTTAAAGACGTTTAGTCCTGTCAGACACACCACTGGGACAGACTAATTTTGCTTAATAGCTCCCTTACAGTCTTCAAAATGCCTGTACGATGGATCTGTCCCCAACCTGAAATTTTAAAACCGGACCTGGTTTTAATGTATGGTATATGTACCCACCGCACTTTGGCAGCTCTGCGTAATATATTTCTACTTGTGACAGGAAAGCAGAAAATCACATTTCCATTTAACAACATGATTATGGTGTATTCATCTTTGTGTACACTCATCTGTTTGTGTTCGGGTTGCTCAAATCCAACAAATTTTTTGATACATCGCCATTTGAAAGATGTTCTCTGAAGCCACGATGTGAAAAGTTGCAGCTGCTGTTTTAATTCTTGGTACTGTCAACACAGTTCTTACCTGATGACACTTTTTGGCTGAGTCAGTGGCGCTGAATGATGTTCTCTAATCTCTTTGTCCTGTAGAAGACTGATTTTGTTCGTTTATTGCATCAGAGTTACTTTATTTATTAGCAAAAGAAATTACAGTGTCAGTGCTGCTGTGTTGGAAATAAACCTGATGTGAATTTGCAGCTTGGAGCAAGGAACCTTAAAGTTGCTGAGTGTTGTGGAGTCTACTTCTATAAACCCAACAACCCTACCATTACTCCATCGTTCACCTACATGGCTCTCACTTAACCCCTCACCTCCTGGAGTAAACGGGTCAAAACGCCCCAAAAAACCTCCATTTAGAAACAAAACTATGGGACGACACCTTGTAATGACTGGTAACCACAGTGATCAGTGCAATTAAACGGCTTTAGGTTCTGATCTCATCAAAGAGTCCTGTCATCAGACCCCCACCACACCCGCAATGAGATATTATCATAGAGGAAACTCCACCCATCTACCAGCTACACCTCATGCTGCCCTCACATGCTATCAGACATGAACGGCCTCTCAAGTTGTATTTACAACTAGGAACCTCTGAGGTTATTTTGATTCCCGAGTTTCAGAGTTGGGTAGGCCATAAACTAAACATGGCAGTTTACTGTAGTGAATGCTAAGTTTAAGGGGGCTTTGAACTAAAAACTGAAAACTTGTTATGTTTTGTTTGCTGTTCATTTACACAATTTGTTTTGGGGGCCTGAAAATGGGGGTTCAAAGGGCAAGTTGTTAAAAAAACGATACCGTTATTGTTTCCATGTAAACTACAAATATGCAAATTTGTAAAAGCGGTCACATCATGTCTATTATGTGTATTTACCGCTCTCCGGCTCTGTAGATGAATGCATATATGCGCAAAAGCATAGTCTTTCTTTACAAAGTCACAGCGCCAACTACTGGCCTGGCATGCATCATACAGCATTTTTTGTTGTTTTTGCAGATCCGTGTGAGCGAGTATCGTTTTGACGACATTGTCATCTGTACGCAAAACTTTTTAAAAATGCAAAAGAAAAACTTTTCTGTTATTAGTACGTCGTTGCTGTGTAAACATACCGTAAGACTGCTTATTCGCTTTTCTCACAACATCTTTCTCTTGCTATTACAGTCATATACAGTATATTTAATTTAATTTACACAGATAAAAAAAACAGCATTTATTTTACCGAGACTTCTAGCGCGGTCACAGTAGCGTGAGTGATGTTTATATGGTTGGCAACAAATGGGACACTACATTGGATCTGTTGAAATCTGTTGGATATTGACTAAATATCTTACGATATATACGAGACTTGTCATAGCACTTGCATTTTATTGCTCTTTTGTTGATTTTGATGGCTTCTATTGTCCTCATTTGTAAGTCACTTTGGATAAAAGTGTCTGCTAAATTACTAAATGTAAATGTAAATATATTAAAAGCATTTCGGCTTTAATAAGATTTCCACAAGCAATGATTAAAAATAAACCTGGTGTCCTCCATGATTCCTATTATTTCTGACAACAAAGCAATTAAACACAACAAATTTGTAATTACACCTTCAGAATTGGGAAGTCGGAAATCAGCATTTTAAGGCAGAGTTAGACAGCTTCTTGTCCATAATGCCAAACTAATCATGATATAAAGGCAGAAATTCACTGTGTTTTTTGTTGTGAGAACTATTGGATATGGTGGATTACCTACTGTATCATCTAGCATGCCCTGTCCCACCTTAAAGGTCTTGACCTTCTCAGCTGTATCCAACAAATAAAACCATGCATCTTAATTTTGACTTATTCTGATGAATTAATATTCAATTTATTGTAGTAAAAATGTTTGATAATTTTATTATTTTAAAGACCAACGTTTTTATAGTTACAGTAGATGTGTTGCACATTGTGCACACATCAGAAAGCTGTTAGTGGGCTACACCAAGCAATGTCCTTTTGAAAGGAGGAGTGTGTCTGTGAATGTGATCAAGCTGCCTTCAGATACTTGACTTGGTTTGCATTTGGCTCTGATTTGAACTTTTTCTGTGTAGAATTATCATGCAGGTCTTTCACTGATACACACCTGTTAGTACTTAGGAAGGGAAGCTCACCGTCTGAGCGTTTGTGTCTCAGTCAATAGAAAAACAGTGATGATTTGTCCCAGATTTGGCTCACAGTCAGTCTCCTGGAGAAGCTTTGCTTTGTTGAGAGCCAGCATTATCAGCACTGAGTTGTGCAACTCTTTATTGTCCGTTATATTTAATCACGAGGGAAAAAAAAAACTTGCATTAAAGTACATTGCATAGGACCCAAAATATATAATAATATAACAAATCAATGACTTTGAACAGGCTAAAATCCCCCAATTTTTTTGGTGTCTGTATAATGACCGCATTCCTGGCAAGGTATTAACTAAGTTCAAAACTAAATATCCTTTTAGGTTTTAAAGGAGTAGTTTACTATTCCTTTAAGTGCACTCACCGTGAGCAGCTTCTTGGTAATTAAAGGAGCTGTAAGCGATTTCAGGCATTTTCCTAGTTTCCACCATTTTGCTAACTTCCATTACCAAACTCCACCCTCTCTCCAAAGACATGTCAGCAAACCTGCAAAATGAGTCACTGAATTTCAGCTTACAGCAACTTTAAGACTAGTGTTTATTCCCATTCTGATGTTGTCAGATGTGCATTGTATTGTAAGGGCTTTGATATATATAAAAAAAAAAGCTAAGAACATCAATGAAATGCGATAAAGCAGACGAAAAGCAAATCATCAGTTGATAGTTAAACCGCTTACTTCATTTCAAGCATGGTTGGGAACATACTTCTTCGAGATTTGTTTCAAGTAAACAAAGAAAGCAGGCAGCTGGATATTGTAACAGGAATAACTCAAAGTGCATCTGTTTCTAAGTTATGCACTAATTGCATTTCTCTGCTCATACTTTCCATGTCCCTGTGCCCTTTAGCCGATCAAGGTAAACACAATCTAATCTAACTGCTTTTGCAGACTTGGAGAAGGTTATTGATCAAAAGAGAATCCACACACTGGTCTATGAATGAAGCCATCTAGGTCTAACGCATTTATATTCAAAAACTGGCAAAAACATTGAGACTACCATTTCATAACAATTCCAACTATTATTAGAGGAACAGTTTTTTCACCCAGAAATTAAAATGATCATCATTTACTTCACACTCATGATTTTATTCAGAAAAATGTTTAACTGCTTTTATCCATGCAGTGAAAGTCAGTGGGATTTAATGTTGTTTATTCCACAGAATAAAGAAAGTCATACAGGTTTGGAACAACATGAGGGTGAGTAATGATTACAAACATTTAATTTTTGATAAATTAAGGTGTCAGTTGAAGCATGTAGATATCAAACACAAAACCCTGCAATTGTGGGGACAGTTAAGGTCAGTAGATATAAGAGCCATAAAGACAATATCTAGGTCAGCCTAGAGTCCCCATTTTACCACCGGCAATGCTGTAATATTTCTTGATTAACCAGCTGTTGAGTGTAACAGCAGCTGAATTTAGAGCAGGCCTCTCTGGTGATGGTCATTGCACAAATATGCTTACTCAGATCTAAACGTCCATTTGCAGAGCCTCTGGGGAAGGAGTGAACTGTAGCTCTCATGATTACAGTCTAACGGTCTGATTAGAGGGGACGTCGTTGCACGGAAATGAGAATGAAATTAGAGGGGATCTTCTTGCATGGAGATCTAATTGAAATAATATTACATTTGATCTGTGTCTTATCCAAGTGGTGGATAAGAGCAATAGAGGAGACTTTTATATTAACATATTTATGATTTATGGCTGTAACTGTCAGAATGCATCAGTATCATCATGATTTGGACTCGTACAAAAGACTGATCCAAAACACTCGCCGCTTCTATTTAATTAACTGTAATGCTTTTCTTGGGGCCTTATGGGTACCAGATTCCTTCACTGTTCATCCAGGGTTGTCTTGAGTGAATTGTTAATGGAATTTGATCTGACTTTATTCAGACTTTTACAGAAAAGCAGACACACATGTATGACACAAATACATCATTTTAACGGTTGTTTTCCACAAAGTCTTCAAATAATGGCAAGGCTCTTTGTAAATGAATTGCTTGGTGGTCAGTCTGCATCATCAGATTGACTCAGCTTGGTTTTTATTCATAATGGGGAACTGACTGATTTGTTATGTCTCGTCTTTGTTCTTGTTTGTGAGTAATGGCGTCAAATTTTTTGCTTATGAATACAAGTTTAAGATCTATACACCACAAAGTATAATTAAAGATGTCTCTCGGCATTGCGGCTGGCTATTATTTAATGCAATGAGTACCACGTTTTTAAGATATCAAGATGTCAGTGAAAAAGTTTGTAAAATGTGTAGCAGACCTGTCCATTCTGTTCCATTATACATCCTGTGTAAGTGTGGTTTGATGAGGAACGCTGCCTTTTGTAGCTGCATATGAAGGTAGCAGTTCAAGCTTGAATTGCTCCAATGGAAAGAAAATCTTAT